AAGCTTGCCACAAACTGCACAAAGCTAATTGGCAGTTTGTAGAGGCTAGCCAATTTCCAGATTATTCCTTCATGCCAGACTGTGTCGAACGCCCTGATTACTTTCTGGTTCTCGTCGCCGCTTATATAGTTTCCTCCAGGTAACCCAGACGGTTCTCGAAATCTCCAGCCCAGGTGCGAAATTTTCCGCTTGTCAGTGTCATATTTTACAGTAAATGGGGCACCATGAATTTTGACCCCCATTCCAACTTGAGTACCCCATGCCATTTCCGTTACAGTACTAATAACCTAAATGTCTGAATACGCAAATGCCATAATATTATAAACACAAACAGGGTGAGTTTTTTCGATGACTACTAGAGGGATCTTGGAAACTACAGCAGATACGAACAAGATTAAATGGACAAATAGTTGCAGTTTTGAATGCTCTATTTAAAACAAATTTTCGTTTTCCAAAATTTGGCAGCTGTCAAGAAGTATTTGTAGAAAACTAATTTACAATAAACTTTTAAATAACTCTTAGTTCCGTCAATATTAATCTGGCAGAAAAATATTAAATAGGAAAGTTGCATGAAATTGCATTCCATATGAAATGTCATAATACATTTTTACAAATTAACTGTCATTTTTGGCATATGACATAAATTTGTGTTTTTTGAATTCATAGCAACTATGCTTGATTATACTATACCTTAATTAAATAGAATTTTATTGCAATTTCAGTGATATATTATTAGGTTTTTCCAAAATGGAGGGTCTGCGAATGATTTTTACTGTTTGAATGTAGTCGATCAAAGGTAGCCAGGGGTAGTCATGTAGTCAGTATGACATACAGAATTGTTTCCATATTATCAAATAATAATAATATGTTTAAATTTTTTTACAAACAAACTGCTTGTTGGGTATTTCGCCCCAAAAAGGTTTGTTTTTAAAAAGACAGAATTTCCTCACGTCTTTTATTACATATAAATGGTGCTCTTATTTCGGAATAAGAACGAATTATTTACTAAAACGTAATCAAAAACTATTATCTAGAGGGTATCCTGCGAGGATATAAACACAGGGTGTCTGCTTTTGGAGCTCAACCATGGGAAAATCTGTTGATAAAACAAAAGAGTGGGTCATTCCAAAGCACTCTTTGCAAAAACAGGCTTTTTGTTATTTTCACCAAATAGCAAGACTAAACCTTAACATATGATACATCATGGTAATAAAAAAAAAAGCTGAATTGAAACATGTATAAATCCAAGATAGCGCCCACAAGAAAAAACAAATTTGATGATGCTTGTCAAGAATCCATATGTCGCATTTTAAATATAGCATCGCCACGTTGTACAAGAGAAAAAGTTGTAATGGTGAGGTATTATTCGTTTTACATTTTCATCATTTTAGTAAGCTTTAGACCGAAACTTTTCCACAATTTAACTAATCTCGTATATAGTATGTTTACCGAGATCCCCATGGTTAAGTTCCAAAAACTGACACACTGTATATATCTAAGTGATAGTTCTTGATTACTTTTTGATAAATAATTCGTTCTTATTGCGAAATGAGAGCACTATTTATCAATCTGTAATAAAAAACCTGGGGAAATTCTGTTTTTTCTAAGACAAACATTTTTTAGGCGAAATACCCAACAAGCAGTTTGTAAAAAATGAATCCGCCTCAACAATATAGAACTTATCTACAAAACATGTTTCAATATTTATTTTATAAACTACCTTAAAATTGACAATAACTTTATTTTAATTAAGACGGCAACTCATTTGAAGTTTTTATTATAAAAATCAAAACGTCCTAAGAAGATTGAAAATTGAACGATTGAAACTATAATTTATTGTAGGACATTTTCAAAAATGCCACCATAATTATCAACTCAAACATTGCAACGCTTTAAAACTAAATATGTTGCTCTTCTTACAGACCGACAATTAATATTTTAACATTCTCTACCAGACTCAAACATCCGGTAATCGGGGTGGCCACAAAATAGCAGGGTAAAATAGGGTGGCAATAAAATAATCCATGTTCCGTCTAGGTGATTCTGTCCTTGGAAAAAAATTTGCGGAGGACCGCCATCATGTTGAAGCCATTACACATTACGCCATCTTTCGAAATATAAATCCTCCAACATAATCTCTAGATCATTCCGAATCATCTGAAGATAACGACTTCACTTCAAAATAAATGGATGATGAATTTTTCATCCTACCCTTCCGAGCGAAACGAAAAATCTAAATGTAATTTGTGGCTTCCTTTACTCAACGCGATAGGGATTTGTTTGGTTCCGACGATGTTCATGGGGTCGATTAATTATACCATTTGGTAATCGAGTTTTATCCGTCCATAATATTTTATAAAACAAATGGATGTCTTGTTGGCACTTGTTTCGAAATTATCTACGAAAATTCACAATCAGTTCATAATCCACCGGATGTGAATTTTATCAATCAACCAATCATACTGGTTGAAATTTGCGGATTCTGACTTACAATGGCCAATATATTAACCTCAGCAGCTTCCATCATACCTACTTCAGTAAAACTCAGCGGCAGATCTAGGAGTTTCTTGAAGGGGGGAGCGCAGTAATAAAGGAATAATTACTTTTTGCTTACCACAACCGTTAATCCGCAGGTTTTCTATTACACTTAAAAACAACAAACACATATAGAAACAACAAACAATTAAATTGCTTGTTAAATAATGAAAAGTTGAAGGTCGGGGGGCCCAGGGGGCGGGCGTTTCCGCCACTGGTAAAACTCCCATAAGTGGCGAAACTGCCGTATAATACTTTCCATGTTTAAAAAAAAATTGACAAATTCTAATTGTCAGTAAATTAACCAGATCGATTCCAATATGAGATAAAAGGAGTTTTAGGATTTAAGCGTGTCAAACTGTAGTTTTTTCTTAAGGATTTATCACATTCCAATAAATTTTATGGTTCTAAAAGGTTTGGAACAAAATGCAATTAAGAAGAAAAGAAGCGGGTCGCAAGCTAAGGCAGCCTATTGTTACAGAATTAGAAAACGAAGTCAGGGATAATTTAGCAGATTTACGAAGTATGGTGTCCCGGAATTACGCCGCTATTTTAATGGGTATTGGAGATGCAAAAAAGTTTCATCACATGAACAATAAGAACAACGACTCGTTGTCGGATAGAGATCGGCGAATATTTGAAACGTTAATTTTTCTAACTACAAAAGTTGTCTGGATTGCCTTATTTCGCAAGAATTTTTCCTTAATTGGTAAGCATATAGAAACATAAACGTGAAAATGTCTGTACAGGGTTATTGATTGAACTTTGGCTACCGCGTTTTAACATCTAATTTGAAAATTGGAGAGAAATGTCACATTCCAAAGTTCTAGATATTAACGTCTAGATTATTTGAAGATAACACTAATTGATACAGGGGGTCTCGAATTTAAGTGACAGGCCAAACTTACCTTTTTTTAATAGAATGCCGTATTTATTATTGAACACATATTCGAGCTATACGTAAACGTCTAGGCCTATTTGATATCAATGTTCAATATTAATTTTCAGCTGTTTTTGATAATAACCAATAATAAAATAATCTCGACGTCAATATCTGCAACTTTTGAATTTAACATTTTTCTCTAAATTTCAAATTAGAAGCTTGAACGGGGTTCAATCAATATTGGTTATTAATTCAAAAACAGTTGAAAATAATTATAGAACATTTATATCAATCATTTTAATTATAGAACATTCCATTCAAAAAACTACAACTTTTGTATTTAACATTTTTCTCTAAATTTCAAATTAGATGTTAAAACTAGGTGACCAGAGTTCCAATAATATTGTTAATTAACCAAAAAATAGTTGAAAATTAATATGAAACATTTATATCGAATAGCCCTACAATTTTGCCAGTAACTTGAATATGTAATAAATTCTTACTCTTAACATGGCTTTCGGCTATGGCAGATGATTTATTTCTATGCCATGTGAGTATTCCCAATCCTTTTGACTACGAGGAAAATACTAAAAAAAGATATATATATTGTACCGTGGGTGGCCGAGTATCAAACTCTTTCTTCTGCTTCCAACTTTTATTCCACTCGGTACAACTTTGACTACGGAACAGGAACAAACTAACTTCAAAATTACCGTCAACTTCACAAACGATAACAATAACACACGGAAAACTTGCTCTTCCGACTCGCGGGGATCAACCTCTTCTGCACCCGGCCGCTCCTGTCACTTCACTTCACCTGTCTGGTTCTCGTCGTCGCTTATATAGTTTCCTCCAGGTAACCCAGATGGTTCTCGAAATCTCCAGAACAGGTGCAAAACTTCCCGCTTGTCAGTGTCATATTTGATAGTAAATGGGGCCTAAATGGGGCTCCCACTTACTGAAATACCATGAATTTCGGTCCCCCCATTCCAAACGTGAGTACCCCAGGCCATTTCCATTACACTGCCCACCTTCTAAACCTTGATCGCCCCGATTAGGTAATTTCTGGATCATGGTTATATCTGGTCAAACGGTGAATGTGGACAACTTTAAATTTTGCTTGAGGGCTCTTATGATTGCTCATCAACAGTTCAACGCCGCCGGCCTCACGCGGCTTTTCGCTGGTGTTCTCTTGGCGCATCACGTTGTCCATCCATTGCATCAGCGTCCTCACCAGGTTGAAGAACTTAAACAGATCGCCAGTATCGGTCAGTTTTCCTTTGCGCTGTTCGCAAACCATTTGCAAACTGGCCCACACAGACACTTCTTGTTCTCTATTTGTGATCTCTTTAGCTCCGTCGCCCGCATAGCTGGGTCGAAGCTTGTCCCATTCCTCTTGGATCTGTTGCACTTGGTTCTGAAGCGTCTGTAGGTCTTGCATGAAGTTCTGATGTTTGCGCTGCAGCGTTGAAACAGAACCAGCA